ATCGCCTTTCATGAAATTTTCTGTAAATAATTGTATTGAATTTAATTGTTTATATTCGGTTCAGGTTATTAAGAACTTTTATGATTTCTAATACATTGTGGATGGTAAACTATTACAAGCATGTAACCTTGATTCCCGCATACTAACGAAAGTTATGTAATAAATGTATGAATATATTTAAAAATGTTAAGAATTTACTAAGTATAACACTTAAAAACAGTTTATGAATACATTTACAGATAATGCTATTAAGTAATATTTTTTAATGGAGTATATTTCCAAATATTTAATCTTATGAAAGAATACTAACAAGCAAAACTTGTAAACGTATTGCACATACAAAATAAGGAGAACGTGAATCGGAAAACAAATGGCGCAGGTTCACGTCTCCTGACCACAATATGTTAAACATTGGAATAACATACTCATAATTTAACAGCTGCAAGCGTTCTCTAATGAGATCCAAGTACCTATGTACAGTAGTCATTCGGCAAGCGTGATCAAATAACTGTTAAGTAATATTCCTCAAAATGGGAATGTCTCTCGCCCGAATATACTACTTAAGTATACACGCGCATAATCGTTTTTTAAATTGTTCAAACGACGAGGAAAGCGCGCGTGCGATTGATCGTCTGCCAACTGTCAACAAAAATGTAAACAGTTATCGAGCGCCTACTACTGTATTTAACATAATGTATTTAAACGAAAACATTTAATAGCAGGTAGAATACTTGCTAATAGCGTATGACAATATGTTTAGTGGGGTAAACCCGCTGTGTTCATTGTAATGCAATATTAGCACTCGAGAGCTCGATACATTGCGTGTGATAATTTGGAATGATTCCGTCTACAGCTACAGCGTGATCGAATGGTTGAGATTAATGCATAGAGTAACCATTTTAAAAGAAAAATATTAATTAAGAACTGGTAAAAGAAGTGAATTGTTTTTGATATGGTTTATTAATTAATTAAGAAAAAACCCAGAATGATGGTTTGAATGAAAATATCCTAATTTCTTTGCGTAAGAATTTCTTGTACAAAAATTAATAACGATGTAGAGTTTCCATATTTTCATATACATATGTACTTTATAGTGTTCCTGAAGCTTCAAATGTAATTTTTTAGAAGAATATTTCTGAAATTGAGACTCACACAACTTCGTTAATTTTCGAGTCGTTAACTTGAAGTTAAGAACTTTGTTATGAACTTTTTTAAATAGCTGCCATTTTATAATGAATTATTTTTTTTTTTAAAGGCTTGATCTTTCGTTTTTAATCTTTATACATGCACATACATCTTATTTGGTAAACAGTTTTTGATGTGTCTCGAACCATCTGCCATAATATCAACATATTTCCTAAGCTAACAGTTTCTCGTCATAAGGATCTTCATACTTTTCAATAAAAAATCTTGTTCTGCACCAAACAGTGTTATCAGTTTCATAGGAAATTATGATTTTTAAACAACTATAATTATCTTTCATGTGACAGTACGAAGCCATATCCATCTACAGAAAACTAATGTCTGATTATGTCTTCTGAAATTATTCAACTTTTATTGTAAAACATTTCTTGTGTTGTCAATAGTTTAACAGATATTCAAATGAATTGATATAAATTGTACACCCTGTAGCCAGGATGTTCCAACAGAAACATAGGGCTTGAAAAAGGGAAATTCTTGAGGTAATTGGCAGTAACTTTTTCATTAGCAAAAGTATTGGTTGCAGCTTTGTTAACAAGTCATAGAATACGAGTTAAATAATACTGTCACACAACTAACTTTATTGTATAAAATATGTGTTAAACTGTGTGCAAATCCATTACTAAAAGGATTAAAGTTCACGCATTATAAAAATAAAGTTAATTTAAATTACCATAAAAATCACTCCTTTTTGTATTCAACACGTTTTCTGGAACATCCTGTATACCTATTTCTTCATGTTGATGAAGATATTTGAAAATTAAAATCACCACAACAAAACATTTGAAAATCGACATTTTTTGATTGGATTTACTAATTACGGCTAGCCTTAGAAAAAACAGGTTTTATCGTATAGTTGCAAGTTATACTGACTCAAATGGAATTGATCAAAATCAGTTTGAACCATGCGAAAAATCAACTTCTTTTAATACTAGCCTAGTTCTCTGTTAACTGATCATTCAGCGAAGACGTGGGAGACTTGATCATAAATGTCCTACATCAGAATTTTTGTAATGTAGTTCAGAACTAGTTTCTATACCAAATTTATACTGTAATTACATCACTAAAAGTTGTCAGACAACATGCAGATAAAATACTTGAAAAGTAAAAAATAAATTTGTAAAAGTGAAAAAATTGTGTTCATCTACTATCTATATAATTTATACATAATGTGTTATGTATACTTTCAGGGTACGTTAATATATTATATAGGGTGTTCGGAAAATCATGGTTCAACCAGCACAGGGGTGTTTTTACATGCAAAAATAAGTCGAGAAGAAGGAATAACATTTTTTGATTTAAGGTTTCATTTTCGAGAAAACTGAGTTGAAAGATGCATCGAATTCGCGTGGCTTGTAATATGACAAGAAGTAGAATTGGTATATGATGACCAGACGCGCCAGTTGATTCCTACTCAATAGTATTTTCCAACCTAATTTTTTTCAAAAACGGAACCTTAAATTAAAAAATATTATTCCTCTTTTTCAACTTATTTTTGCATGTAGAATCACCCCCTTGCCGGTTGTACCACGATTTTCCGCACACCCTGTACATATGGTACATGTGATTGTATCGCTTATGTGAACCATATGATGATAAATCGCACATAACTTGCTGAAGACAATTTTTAAATTTGCAGAAGTTCAATATCGTGCGATATACTAATTTATATGGGTGTAATGAGTAGTTCTTTAGAATGCTGCATTATTGCATGACTCATACAAAATACCTACTCTTAAATAACGTTTCTTTTTATGTAAGTAGAGATCTCAACGGTGACTTTGTACTATGACTATGAGTTACCCAAAGCAACAATTGATGTCTTGTACACACTGTCGGTTCCATCCTCTTCAATAACGAGAAGAAAGTTGTCTTTAAATTTTATATTGTAGTGGACTTGCAATTTTACAGTCCTGGATAGTATCACGCCTCTTACGTCTTATTACCTTTTGCGAAAATCGCGCAAACGGTAATCCAGTTTTGTGAGAGGATACATTTTGTTATCGCTAGAGGAAAATTCATCAGATTTCTCGAAAGGTCACCGATTGCCACCTACACTTTATCAAAGATTTTATAAATCGCTAAAAAATCTTTAAACTTGCAACGTAATAAACATAACCACAAACAATAACTGAAAAGACACAAACAGTTCTCAGCGATGGAAATATTTTTAATCCATTACAATTTGTATTCCCGTCGAACAAATTCCGTATTAAATAAAAACAATTTAACACAAATAGGAGATAAGATATTAAAAATATAATTCATACTTACAAGATCACGTGGCTCTGTATTTCATTCATGGTTCTTATATGATATATTTACAATTACAGTAAAGCTTATACATAATATATACCAGCCTATACAGACGTGAGGCACTACTATACTCTCGATTATCTCTCGAACCACACTTACCTCTTTGTATTATGCTTCCCTGGATATCCATTGAAACAAGTCCCCGTCAGTTCTATCTAGAATTTGACCTCGACGGAGTTGATCGTCGCGTTGCAGTTGTGCGAACGGACATTAGATAAACCAAATTAGAAATATTTTACACCGCCAGGTGGCACACGTATATGTTTCTGTGACCATTGGTATCGAACATGATGTATCGGTAAAAATTTAGCGGAAGAGAGAAAGTAAGCTGAAAGAGAAGGATAGCGACTAAACATGTTTGTCACATTTCATTCCTCGCCGCAATGTTGCCATGCCGCCAAAACCGTTTCACAAACTGGGTTTCATGAAACTGATTCCAGCTTCATGAGCCCGTTCTGCTACGCGCTAGGTTTCTCGACCAGGGGAAGGTGACGTGCGGGGCAGTCGTGAGCGGCGCGGCAGTTGCAGCAAGAACGCTCGTAGAATATTATAAATATCTCAACAATAATAAAGAAATGGTCATTTCTACAACCGAAGCCCTTCAGCTTAGATTTTTCTGAATCGAAATATCCAACTCCCGAACTGCTCACTTGAATATTGGCACGTCCATCTTGGTTGATACGAACAGTTGTCACGAAGATATTTTGTCGCACGCTAGGTTTCTTGACCAGGGGATCGGCAGTGAGGTGTGCTTGCGATGCTACCAATGATAGCGGCAATGCGGTTGAGGGAACGACCGACAATGTTCTGGCCAGAGCAAAAGAAATCGCTCTGGCATTCAACGCCGGGAAAACTGTAGGTATATGCAATATACAGGGCATACCACAATTATTTTCACAGCCGAAAGTGAGGGGTAGCTGAGGTCATTTGAAGCGACTTTTTCCTTTGCGAAAATGCAATCTGCGGACCATGATATGACCTTTATATGACCATGACATGACCTTGACCTGACCTTGACATGACCTTCATATGTCAGGGTTATGTCAATTAAATTAGCTTTGCGAATCATTCGTTGAACTGTGTTCGGACACGGAATTATTTAAATTAAAATATCATTTACGTACTTTGTTAATCTTCACTGTACACCTTGCTCAAAAATCTCATATGTTGACCTTGACATGACCTTGACATAACCTTGACATGACCTTGATATGACGTTGACATGACCTTGACATAACCTTGATATGATCTTTATATGACCTTGACATGACCTTGACATGACCTTGACATAACCTTGACATGACCTTGACATGACCTTCATATGTCAAGGTTATGTGAAGGTTATGTGAAGGTTATTGTTCATATTTCTCTAACAAACATATCCCATACGTCCTTTAACGCGATTATTATTTATTAAATTAGCGTTGCAAATCATTCGTTGAACTGTGTCGGTCACGGTTAAATTAGTTACTATTTCGGGTCCGAAAAATTAGTAAATATTCTTCAGACGTTCTAAAGTAAAGGTGAAGAGCGTTTTTCTTAAAAATATCACTGTTACGTAGTAAAAAAAAATCGGAAAATTCTCGCTTCGTGATTTGTTCAATACTTCGAACGCGGCTCGAGTCCGTCCCGACCATCTGTCGAAGCCTCGTGCTGCGGGCTCTCGAACTTCGCGCCGTCACCTCTCATTGGCCAGTGTTTTCCGTTAATAACTCGTAAACAAAGCCGCAGATCGCATTTTCGCAAAGGAAAAAGTTACTTCAAATGACCTCAGCTACCCCTCATTTTCGGCTGTTAAAATAATTGTGGAACACCCTGTATATGTACGATGAAATGTATATTCATAATGTATGTACTTCTATTTCTACTTCCATGTTACAGTCGCAGTGGAAGACCATTCTTGTCAAATTAGCTCGGAGGACCACAAAGCCCTCGAGGGTCGCTTTGGAAGCTGCCAATGTGAGTAAATGTAAAATTTTTAACTTTGAGTATTATTTCGAATTTATAACGCGATAAAATGTAGAAATTTGTTCTAGTAATTGTAGCAATTTATTTTAATAATATGATTTTTTTGCAGCATGGAATATCATATACAAACAAAGATGCAACAGGTGAAAATTTGTGAAGTAAGCAACACCTCCGCCGCAGCAGCGGCGACCGCCAGCAGCGGCGTTTGCATCAACGCCGTGCAGCGGAGGCGGAAACCACCTCCCATTTGTCCAGAAGGAAAGAAATCGCTCTGGCATTCAACGCCGGGAAAACTGTAGGTATATGCAATATACAGGGCATACCACAATTATTTTCACAGCCGAAAGTGAGGGGTAGCTGAGGTCATTTGAAGCGACTTTTTCCTTTGCGAAAATGCAATCTGCGGACCATGATATGACCTTTATATGACCATGACATGACCTTGACCTGACCTTGACATGACCTTCATATGTCAGGGTTATGTCAATTAAATTAGCTTTGCGAATCATTCGTTGAACTGTGTTCGGACACGGAATTATTTAAATTAAAATATCATTTACGTACTTTGTTAATCTTCACTGTACACCTTGCTCAAAAATCTCATATGTTGACCTTGACATGACCTTGACATAACCTTGACATGACCTTGATATGACGTTGACATGACCTTGACATAACCTTGATATGATCTTTATATGACCTTGACATGACCTTGACATGACCTTGACATAACCTTGACATGACCTTGACATGACCTTCATATGTCAAGGTTATGTGAAGGTTATGTGAAGGTTATTGTTCATATTTCTCTAACAAACATATCCCATACGTCCTTTAACGCGATTATTATTTATTAAATTAGCGTTGCAAATCATTCGTTGAACTGTGTCGGTCACGGTTAAATTAGTTACTATTTCGGGTCCGAAAAATTAGTAAATATTCTTCAGACGTTCTAAAGTAAAGGTGAAGAGCGTTTTTCTTAAAAATATCACTGTTACGTAGTAAAAAAGAACCGGAAAATTCTCGCTTCGTGATTTGTTCAATACTTCGAACGCGGCTCGAGTCCGTCCCGACCATCTGTCGAAGCCTCGTGCTGCGGGCTCTCGAACTTCGCGCCGTCACCTCTCATTGGCCAGTGTTTTCCGTTAATAACTCGTAAACAAAGCCGCAGATCGCATTTTCGCAAAGGAAAAAGTTACTTCAAATGACCTCAGCTACCCCTCATTTTCGGCTGTTAAAATAATTGTGGAACACCCTGTATATGTACGATGAAATGTATATTCATAATGTATGTACTTCTATTTCTACTTCCATGTTACAGTCGCAGTGGAAGACCATTCTTGTCAAATTAGCTCGGAGGACCACAAAGCCCTCGAGGGTCGCTTTGGAAGCTGCCAATGTGAGTAAATGTAAAATTTTTAACTTTGAGTATTATTTCGAATTTATAACGCGATAAAATGTAGAAATTTGTTCTAGTAATTGTAGCAATTTATTTTAATAGCATGATTTTTTTGCAGCATGGAATATCATATACAAACAAAGATGCAACAGGTGAAAATTTGTGAAGTAAGCAACACCTCCGCCGCAGCAGCGGCGACCGCCAGCAGCGGCGTTTGCATCAACGCCGTGCAGCGGAGGCGGAAACCACCTCCCATTTGTCCAGAAGGAAAGAAATCGCTCTGGCATTCAACGCCGGGAAAACTGTAAGTACAAGCAATATATGTGTACAACAGAATGTATATTTATAATATATATACTTCTAATTCTGCTGTTATGTTACAGTCACAGTGGCGAAATATTTTGGGCCAGCTGGCTCGGGGGACCGCCAGGCGAACCTGGTGGCTGCCAATATAAGTAAATGAAAAATACTTTTATATATAATATAATATAGTAATATGTATAATAACAAATTATAATAATAATATATACTTATACGTTGCAGAGAGAGCTGAAAAAGCTGCTGAAGCAAAACATATACGGCCCCCATAAAAGGGGCAAGTAAAGAGGAGGAAGAGGAGGAAGAGGAGGGAGAGGAGGGAGAGGAGGAAGAGGAGGGCAAGGTGGGAGAGGGGGACATTGCAAATACGTATTGAACTTTTTTTAATAAGCACATAGTTTTTATCATTTCTGTTATTTATTTTATTTCCGAATTGCTCCATCACCCTCAGTTTTTTAAATAAACGAACTATATTTAAATTATTTGTTTACTTCGCATTATCTACATATCACATCCTATCCCACTAGCACTGTCCGACAAAATCAAACTTTTTTTCTGATTTCCTATAATTATTCATCCTTACGTTTTTATTATTCTTAGTTTATTATAGTATAATNTATTAATTGTTTTTGGTCCTAAATAGCAATGAATTATGTTAATTACATATTATATGTTCAAATGTCATTAAGTCTCTTTAGCCATTGGTGGTGGTTGGGGGCTACGGCAATCTTGTGGCCATGGTCTTATAATACCTGAAGTATGTAATATAAGTATAAAAAATAAAGCATAAATAACTTATATTCAAATAATGTAAATAATTAACCTACGATCTGGAGAAAGTCCCATTCCTACTATATGTTCATATAAATCAATTACATAATCCACATTATCGAATTTTTCAACTGCCGCGCCGCTCACGACTGCCCCGAACGCCACCTTCCCCTGGTCGAGAAACCTAGCGCGTAGCAGAACGGGCTCATGAAGCTGGAATCAGTTTCATGAAACCCAGTTTGTGAAACGGTTTTGGCGGCATGGCAACATTGCGGCGAGGAATGAAATGTGACAAACATGTTTAGTCGCTATCCTTCTCTTTCAGCTT